CCCCGCCGCAGCCTCCGCCGGGCCCGGGAAAGCCGCCTGCAACGCCCTGAAACGCCGACCTGGGCAGGTAACGGAAGGGTTAAGCGGCCGGGAGGGTAGTAAGCGAGACTCCTCTGGTGATGGAAGAGGAGAGTCCCTCTGGCTGGAGTTTAAAGGAGGTTTCTCCAGACAGATTTGTATCGCCTTCGCAGAGCGCTTCAAACCAAACCTAAACCCCGTCCAGTCCCTTCCCGAGGGATCTTCTCGCCACGAACCCTCCCTGCCTACCAAGCAGAGTTGCCTGCGAGCGAGCGTAAAAGCCAGCACAATAAACCACCTGGGCAAAAGAGCGAGCTGTGCAGACCCCCACCGAAGAAGGGAACACGCACAGGAGGGCACACGCACAACACACAAACACAGAGCGTAGGAGGAGTAGGACCCTACCTTGATCCATAGACCTCATGATGTGGTGGTAATGTACCAGCCTACAGGCAGTTTCTCTCTGCATCAGGAATTAAAAAAAAAAAAAAATCAATAGTAGGAAAAAAGAAAAAAAAATCTTCTTTAAACCATGTTCAACCAGTGCTGCCTGGGCAGAGGGAACCCGTCTTGCTCGCCTCCTCCGTAAGCGTTTGGAGGTGCAAAGAGGGATCCGAACTGGGCTGAGCTTGTTCCTGAAGTGAAGTCAGTTCTCTGCTCTGAGATGAGGGTTACTAGAGAGGGAAAGGCCACTTCCTTCCCTGCTCTGAGTGTTTATAGTCTTTGAATGCTGTAAAATAACGGGATTCCCTCACTGTTTCCTCCTGTTTATCCCAGTGCCATGGAAACCCCTGGATCGCCTCCATCTCCCAAACTGAGGGCTTTCCTGCAAACTTCACACTCAGGAATCCATGACGTCTCCCCAGCTCCAGGCCAAGGCAGCTCTGCGGCTTTCTGAGTCTGCAGCACAAGCGCTTAATTGTTGAGCAGAAAGTTAGAGAGCAAGAAAGAAAGAAATATGGATGATGTTAAAAATCCCAGTGTGTGCTTTTTAAACAAAACTTGCAGGCACTGCAAAACCTTTCAAAGCAACAGGGCTTCTGTGCAGAAATTTTCCTTCTTCCCAGTAGAGACAAGCTCGGACTGCTGCTGCTTTTACCTTTGAATAAATCATTCAGAAAACTCAAGTCCCAAGCTTATATTTATGTCTTTATATTTGCCAGCACCCTATTAATACCCATCTTGTTATTGGCACAGGCTTTCGCTTCTAATTACCACTGGTTCAATTCTTTACCCAGAAGATGAAAAAAAAAATCGGTTAATTTGTTTAGTGGCATTTCACAGACCTCTCTCTGCTGCTATTTTTAGATCCATTTAGAAAGAGAGAGGAGAAACCCCATGGCTTTCCAGTGATACACGTGGAGCTTAGCAAGAATGAAATAGCCAAGGAAGCCTCCGAAACCAAGACAACCCCTGTGTGTTTACATGTACTACGTATAAACAGGAAAATAAAGCAAAAGAAAACAGGAAAATAAAGTCAAAGATATCGTGAAGCGTGTGCTGTCTCACAACGTATAGTTTTCACTGTTAATGTTAACAAGCATCTGCCTCTTGATTCTTTCCTGGATGCTGTGGCTACATGCAACTGGACTTGCATATATTTTTTCCAGAAGAGATCAAGAGTTCAGATATATAAAAGGCTTCATCTGGGACCTTGACAGCTCTGCAGTTGCTCTGTGTTTCTATATAATCTGACCAATCTTTGAAATTTACATTTTAAATAGGGATGGCTGTCGAGGTCAGTCTTGGGTAGCAACCGGAGTGAGTCACTTTGCAGATGCACTTGGCCTGGAGCTGCATGGAGGGCTGGCTGGCACCCGCACGACATTTCCATTTTTCACTCTCTGAGTCCCAAAATCGACTCGAAGGAGGTATCACAATCAAACTTTCTGCTTCTCTAGTTTGTTGTCTTGCAGGCTAGCAACTGCAGGCAGGCCAGGGAAACTCAGTGCACCTCACTTTCCTAGTCTTTGTCATTTTTGGACATGCTGAGGCGGAAATACCTTCCCCGGCTCCACGGGCCTGTTATGTAATGTACTTCCACTGAACCCTCAGAGTGTCAGGGAGCCTGCTCTTTGGGGACTTCACGTTAACGGCCCGTTTCTAGGGTCAATTAACTAAGATGCACGACCCCCCCGCTGGAAGCTCCCCTGGCGGAGACCAGCTCCCAGCTACCCCAGCAGCGCATCTTAATTATCCGAGTTGGATCGTGATTAAGAGCTACCTGGAGATTTGTAAACCCCCTAAGAAGAGGCTGTCCGGAAGCCTCTTCCTTCCATCCCCGTTTAAACGCCCGCGCCATCAGGGGCTGTTGATGCCTTCTGCTCTCCAAGCAGTAAGGCAGTTGGCAAGCTTTGCCTTTGGTCCCCTTGTCGTGATTTTCTCTTGGTTACTCCATGCCAGGCTCAGCCCCTGAGCCCCAGGGACTTAACGGCAGCGGGCTCAAAAAGGCAAAAAACACCTATGCCTCAAACTGAGATTCATACCTAGATACTCTGTGTTTTAACAGCCCTCTGAACTGAGCACTTGCAAGTCATGATATGCATGAGAGAAGATCCCGTACCAGCACTGGCACTGCTCCTCCACAAGCCTCAGGGGCAGGACCATGCAGCTCTAGCTGCCTACGAATTTCTGTGCCTTTTAATAGATGCTAGGTTTCATGCCTATTAAAGCCTAACGCCCATTCAGCGTGCTTTCCAAGCAAGCTCAAGACCGGACCTACTATTTGCATCAGTTGCTGCTTTAAAGTAAAGTTGGAGCAACCTGATTGCTATTGGGAAATATTAAGGGGAACCCGAGATAACTGGTTTGCTTGGAGAGAAGGGCAGAACTGTTGTTTTTGCCTGACCTCCCTCCCCTCCACCTGCCAAACCCCTTGCCGCGGCACTGAACTGCTCACTGCAGCATCACTAGTAATAACTGCACTGGGAAAACCAGAGGAGAGGAATGAGGGAGGGGGCTTCGATGAGGGGCAACGTTAAAGCAGGGCTGAGGGTAAAAGATTAAGGAAGGGGCGAGGTGCAGGGGTAGCTGGGTGCAGGGGTGGGAGAGGAGAGCAGCTGGGGCGGTCCACGGGCATCACGGTCTGCCAAAGGGTATCCCAGAGCGAGCGGAGAATGGGCTACCCCGATGGAAAGCTTCGCCTCCTCCCACGCTGAGCTATAATCGGGGGAGCAGTCACAGCTCAGCGGTTATGGCACACAGGTTGGCTTCCCTAGTCTGGACCGTTTAAAAATACAATGTCTTTCTTTTAATAGCTCGGTTTGATCGGCTCCCGCTAGTTCACATGACAGGGTTTTCCTAAAATATCTTCTTCCACCAAGTTTTTTCCAACTTAAAAATGCTGAATCCTGCTACCCAAATTAAACTCAGTGCAAAGTGAAGAAAAAAAAAAAAGTGAAAGAGGGCTGGCGGCGGCCTCGGTACTGCTAGCATTCCCCAAACCAGCATATGACACAACTGTAAGATTTCCAAGGCTTTTGGAGAGTTCAGCGAGAGAATCGTGTCCTCCATTGGCTGCAGCTTCACGGCTGAGTTAAACTTTCCTGATGGAACCTTTCTCCATCTGGCTGCTGCTCCCAGAGCTTTGCGAGTGGCCATGGAGGAGAAGGGGGATATAGTTCAAGTCTTATATAACTGTACAAGCTGGATGCGGGGGCAGAGACTTTCCCTAGAAACGAGAGATTTTTATATATATATAGTTATTTTTAGCTTCCTTTTCAAAGGAAGGCCAAATACCTCCGACTTTCCTTTGCTTTCTTATTTTGGTATCACTAAGGGATTTTATTTTTGGAGGTAAGGACCTATTTATAGCTAATATTTATAGTTATTTATTCCCTCTTTAGGAGGACACTTCCTCTGCCTTTGAGGGGCCCATTCTGGACCACATCCCTACCCCCCAAAACCAGCCCCCTCTCCCCACCATGCACAGGGCTCCCTCTGAGATTCACCAAGAACAGACCAGGCTTTTTGGGACACAGGGGAGGGAGCATGTCTCCAGGTCGCAGCCCAGGCCCCAGCTACAGAGGTAGCTTTGAGGAGCGATGCTGTCACTGCGATAGCCCCTGGCCAAGCGCGTTGCAGGAGACCAAGCGATGCCCTCGCTGCCCGGACCAAAGGTGCAGAGCGCAGGGCCAGGGCTGCTGTACAGTTCACTGCAGATGGCACTTGCAAGGAGAGTCTCCCTGGCCAGAACATTTGCAATACAACCAAAATGGTGGGTTTTTTTTCTTTTTTTGTTTCCTTTTTTTTTTTTCCTTGTGTTCTCCAGAAGATAATACATCAAGGCTTCCTGAGGATGTGCTCTCAGGCCACTGGGGCAACTGCCCAGGGTTTATCATAATAGACTTCATGGAGACACCTCTATTTTCCACTTGCAAAGGTATTTCAGGCTCACAGCAACAATAAGTATTTTTGACAAAAGCTCATCACCCTTCCAAAGTAAATACAGCTCTCCCCGAATCTGCCACCACATACAAAGCACTCCCGAGAACAACCTCAACATGTTTAAGGCATTAAGTGGAGCTGGTGCCTAAACGCCAGATTTATACACTCTGGGTGTGTCTTCGCTGCAGCTAACCTGGACTCCCAAAGAGAGCCAAGCGAGGACCAAATAACTCGACATCTGCAGCTCGGCCTGCTTAAGTAATGCAAACTGGCACCTCCCTCCTTTTTCATAACAGTCCTAGAGCATTAGGGCTACAGAAAACATGTTACCAACTTAAGCTTACTTCTGACAATGCACTTGTCTGAATAACATATTCAGTCACTTAATTAAGTTACAAACGGAGTGTCTGATCTTGTAATGAGCTCCACGTGGCTTGGGGAATCCACCCACATACAGCTCTCAGAGAAAGATTGGAACTAGAGCCGCTTGAATTTTTCCCATCAGAACATTTTTTCCAAATGAGAAATAGCTTTTCATCTAAAATGAAAATTGGTTGAAATTTTCTGTTTTTTCAATAAAACTCAATAAACTGAAAGACTATTTTTTGAGTTAAAGTAGTTTAAAAAAAACGGGGAGGAGAACTGACTTTTAGTAAAAGGGTTCTTTTAAGAAAATTAGAAATAATTTTTATAAGTGAAGAGTGATTTCTTTTTTCAACAAAGGCAGTTGCAGAAAACAGAACCACAAATAAAAATGATATTGAAGAAAGTGTAAAGAACATTCTTCCTCTTCCCCCTCCCCTCAAAAATTTCCTGTAAAGGAAAAAATAGATGTCTTTCAACTCACTCGTAGAACAATAGGGCCCCATTCTCGCTGTCTTTAGTCAGGCAGCTCTTGAATTAGTGTCCTTTTATGAGACCAGGAGGATATAATTATTTGAATTGGCCTGATATAATACCATCCTAGGCTACAATTTTCCATTTTACCTACTACCGTGTCTGTCTCCTGGAAATATTTAAGACTCCAGTCAGTGAAGCACATTTGCAAAGCAGTCACAAGGCTGCTTGTAACTACTTCTATATGGAAGTGTCCAACACCTTCATGTCAGGTTCTTTGTGAGAGAAGCACCAGCTCTGCACCTGCAGCAACAGGAAAAGTGATCTGGGACCGCAACCTCCTGAAAAACTGGACCTCTTTTTTTTTTTTGCAGGTGAGAACCGAAGCGATGGCATTGCTAGGCCTGAATTGTAGCAGTGCGGGAGTTCACGTGCGCAAGACGCTGAAAAAGAG